CATCCCTCTCCAAGGCTTGACCATCTTGTTCTCTGCTGGGGACATGCTCCTCTCTCTAGAGCCCCAGTCCACAACCCTCTTGTGCTGGAGACCACTTCAGAGCTGAGCAGAAGCCTTCTGTCCTCTCACAGCACAGGCAGCATCCTGCTCTTCTGGCTATAGACTCTCAACCACCTGCAGGGGTCCAAAACATGCCCCTAAAAAGAGCTCAGCCCATCGATCTCACAACCCAACAGTTTACAAAAGCATTTCATAGTTTTGTTTTGTTTTTTTTTTTTAGTTTTCAAACCACTTCTTAGTTAAAAATTAACTGAAATAGGTTGAACTGCAGGAGATATTTCCCCCACACCCATGGGCCAGCCTGTGACTGCCAGAGCTGGCTCTGGGCTCAGACAAGTGCCCCACTCCTGGTTCAGAGGTCAGGCACACTGGCAGCCAACACTGTTACTATTTTTACATTGAAAAAACCACAACACAAATAAATGGCTGCTTAAAGAAAATAAAATTACGATTCTATTAAGAAATTATCTTTAATCCATGCTGGACAAGGTTGACACCTTCCCCCCTCTTAAGGAGGCTGCAAAATTAAATTAATGTTTGTGAAGTGCTTGGATGTCATAGCAATAAGTGGCCCAGAGAAGCCCGTGGGAAATGAATAGTTTGGTCTTGGTGAGCAGGGACACAAGAGTACACAGTGGGATAAACAAAATTAGCTAGTGAGCATCTCCCACCCATGCACTGCTCCTGGAAAACACAGCCTGTGACCATGAAGAGCACACTGTAGTGCAGATATACCAGAGGCCTGAAATAAAAACTAAGGCAATTTTGGTCATGGTGTTTCCTGACTTCCAAGAAATCAGGAAGCTTACACAGAAGCACTTCAGTTTGACAATGGAGTTTCCCCCCAGCTCTCACCACAACATCTCTGCCAGTCCACAGTCAGCCTCAGCCCCTCTCCTCCTGAAGGCACCTCAAAGGCACATGGACAGAGCCAGTTCTCCATGGGGCTGATGGTCCCTTCCCAGGGATCAGCTCTGCTGACCAGTGACAGCTGCAGCCACTACAAGCAGCTCTAACTCTCCCCAGACTGGAAATGTAGGACAGGGCAGAGCAAACAGCAAGAGCTGCTTTCTCCTGTGAGGCCCAACACCAGCAGGTCACCAAGTTCTCTTGTGGCCAGGTGACAGCAAAAGAGAGCTAGGATGCTTGGACAGTCTTTCACACCTGGGACAAACCCTTTCATCAACACCACTGCCATAAAGCATGCTCCTGCACCGTTCCCAGTCCAAGTCTCCATCCCATTTATCCTCTGCTCCTAACTTCTATTCTGGCTTCCCAGCTTCACTTGGTGAGCAGAGGATTTTTATCAGCACACTCACCACGAGCATCACTTCCCCCAAAGTTTCAAAACACTCCCCACCCCTCCCCACAACCAAGGGGCAGAGAACTTCCCAGATAAGGCAGCTGAGGGAACCGTGACATTTTTAAATGACTAAGCAGTGTCCTTCCCTGGCCCTCTTCTCAGAAACAAGATGAACAACTTGGGGATGACACTTCCCAAAAGTATTTGGTGAAGAGCTGCAGCCCGCTCTGGTGTGGGGATGAGATTGCACCAGACTGCAGGCAGGATATTAATGGAAAGTATCAGCCAGCTGGCCAGGGGGTTATCAGCTCCTTCCCAAGGGCGCTGCACCAAGGGCAGAGCCGCCCCTGCCAGCGGGAGCTTCCCAAAGCAGTCACACTGTCACTGACCCCTCAGGGAACAAAGCCCCACAAACCTCATGGGGTGAAGCACACTCACTGTCACTGCCTCTGACCTGCACAGATTGCAGTGGTGCAGGAGCTCGGAGGGGCTGCAATAACTCCCAAGGAAAATGAGAAACCAAACTCCAGGACACTTTCCCCACACTCCAGGGAAGGATCAGAGGTTTTATAGCATGGTGGAAGTAACACAACAAAACCAGGCAGCCTTTCCAGCCAGGTGAGCCATTCTGCTCTAGCAGGAGCCCTCCAGTCGTGGTGTGCCAGGCACACAGTGCCCATGCTGTTGTACAGCACCCAGCACACCTGAGTGCTGCAGCCACAGCACACACGGCTCAGCACAGCTGGTGCCAGAGCCACAGCACTCCATCACATGCTGGGAAGCACTGCTGGCCCCTAGGAAAGGGCAAGAGCAGGCTGCTACCATGGAATGTATTAAACCAGGTTATAAGCTGCTGGTCAAGCCAGGGAAAACCTTACTGGTGGCAAAGGAACTGCTCTGGGGCTGCACGATGATGGTGAGCTGCATGTTGGGCTCTGTTCTGCAGCAGGGATCACTCTCACCAGGTTCCTGGTGACTTTTCATCAGGGACTTACCAGGCTCCAAGCTCAGAAGGCACTGACAGCACTTTAGGAAAGGTGTTCCCCCGGCAGACACTGCAACAGGGCAGATCATCCCCTTCACTGTGCTCACAGACAGTCCCCAAACACCACAAGTAACAAATCACTCGTATCCCAAAGCCTTTGCCAGCTGGCAGTAATGGCTCCAGGGGTCTATTCCTCTCTGAAAACACAGTGGCAGTTCTCCTGTGTTTGAGGGTCGTTAAATGCTGCCCACCCATCACCTTTCAGCACTCACAGGCTCCTTGCTGGTTACCACACCCCTACAGGCTCCAGTCCAGAGGGACTTTTCAAAAATTTCAATGGCAATTAAAATTTGATTGTCCTGGGCTGTCCACTTGTCCACCCTGGAGTACAGACAAGTCAGTGCGCAGAGGAGCCATGACTTCCCTGTCCCACTCTCCCAGCAAGCTCCTCATAGCTGCTGGAGGGAGGTGTCACAGGAGAAACTCCTCCAATACACACTAGCTGTTGAGCTGGTATTCAAGTGTGCAGTTCTCTAAGCCTATACTTGTTACAAGGTGCTACAGCAACTGTGAGAGATGGCTAAAGGCACTCCCACGTGTTTGTTTCTGGGCAGGAATACTTTACCAGCTCCTAAGCCAAAACATCTGAGACTTGCACTCATAACTTGGCCCGTGGAAGCCCCAGCAAGCTCACTGTCCCTGGGCTTGCCTGCAGCATGTCCTCAAAGCCAAGACACAGCCCTTCCCAAATGTTTTAAAACTGTTTTGCAACCTCTGAAACCATTTGAGAGACATTGGTCAAAGAGCCATTTTATATGTTTCAGCAGCTGAGAGAGAAGCAGTAACACCCTGACAGCAGTAACCACCAAGGTAATGCTCTTACAAATTGCTTTGCTGGATACATGGTTTGGGTTAGCACTGTAGGCTAAAGCCTTCTCCTGTCTGGGGCTGTCAAGTCCATAACAGTCAGCTGTAAGTTAAACAACTACTAAAACTTAATATCAATTTTGCAAACTGAAGCTTGAATGCTTCCCCAGTTGGTGGGCTTTTTTGTTGTGGGCTTTTTTCCCCTCCAAGGCTCACTGGGAGGAGATGGGAGAGTGAGGAGAGCTGGGGACTGTTAGAAGAAGGAGGGGACAGGTATTGTTTCCAGAGGGAGGTGGGAAGAGAAAGGAAGTAACATCTAGAATGTGAATGGAAACAGAGACAGGAAAAGCAGACTAGAATTCCAGTTCTGACTCAGTTTTGATCTAACTGATGGAGCAAGGGGAAAGAGAAAGTGGGCAAGAGCAGTCACTACTACAAACCTGAATTAACCCCTGCCCCACCACACACACTTTGGTGGCAGTCACCAACAAACCTCCAACAGCTGACAGGTAACAGAAGCCTGTTATTAACAATCAGCTCCCAGACCTCCCACTCCTCCCACTGCTGGTGGCTGCAGGACTGGGGGGCTCCCAAAATTGATGACTGTAAATGCCCAGCTGCAGACTGGTGCTTCTCTGAGGTCTCACACTGCATTGAAGGAACACCCCAGAGAAGCCAGAGAGAGCCTGCCTGCAGGCCCACAGGCACTGAATGGGAACTGAACAGGGTGCAAGGGCTGCAGGACCTTGCTTTGATCTTTCAGGCCGGACTTCAGGTGCCACCAACACCCTCCTACATGGTCCTGCAGCACTGCCTGGGACAGGAGCCATAAAACAGCATCTGCTCACCTGCCAACACAGCTCACACAATTTCAGACACATTAAACCTTCTTCTGAAACAAACCTTACAACTCACTGGTTAACTTATTCCTCTCTGGGGATGTACACTTGAACTGAGATCAGGCAACAGCCTGGTCCAAGCTGCCTTTGTTCCCCATATGTAAAGGCCTTCATTACAGGCAGCTGCTACAAACTTTGGGGGTCGAAGGAAGTCTGGAAGGTGAGCACACCTAAACAGGGGAATGATGAGGGCCTTGTGACAAAAAAAAAACCCCAAGCTACCAGCCAGAGCCTGGGTTGTACATTCCAGCTCTGGAAGGCTGATGGACCCATCAGGATCCTGGTCTCCCTACAGTCAGTGCAGAGGAACACAAGGACCAGCTGAGCCACGTCCTGCTTTCTCCTTCAACAGGGAGGAGCACAGAGCAGCAGGAAGGAGCAAGGCCCAAAGGCTTTGAAGCACACACCAATATTAGCCAAGGGAAGACAAGTATTTATGAACAGTATCAGCAATCACCACATCTCACTTTTCAGAAGAGAACACGACAAGGAAGGCACATGCAAAAGAGCTGCACTAATGCAACACTGTGACATAAGATTAAAACTAGGAGGGGAAAAAAAGAATATTTATGAGTCAGTTGTGTGGTGACATCGGCATTTTGATGCTCAGACATTAAAGCACAGCCACAAGCACAGTGCTTGTGTAGCCCTGCACCCTGCCAGCATGGGGAGGCCACGGGCAAGAGCTGTTCCAAACATCACTACTGCATGTTTGCAACTACATCTCTTGGTCTGACAAGAGACTTCATCCCTCCAGATTCTTCATCCTGAGTGCTAAAGTACTGTGAGGAGGAGGAGACAGCAGGAACTACAAGGACAGTAGGGCAATCAGTCATTTTCTCTCAAATGATATGGAAATAAAAGTGAAGCAGGAAGAAAGTGGTACCTCTGTCAAAGGTCTTGGTCTTCTCTCTACAACAAATTCTGTGTGGCAGAGCTCACAGTAACTTGTGTTGGAGGAGGATAACCATTTTTCCAGGCAGCTCTTGTGCACGGTGCCCAGTGTTCCTGTGCAGTCACATGGGGAAAGCAGTCCCTCCCCATTTCCACCTTCATGACAGATTCGACAGATGGGACCATCACTGAAGAGGCAGAACAAGAGACAAACAGAATGAAATCATGGTCAGAGCAGGCAGAACGACACAGCTGTAGTGCCTGGTCCCACCAAGCTCCAGAAAGGCACATGCACAGCAAGCAGCATGTGGCAGAGCACACCAGGAGCCTGCTGCAGCAAGAAACCAGTCTCAGGGGAACCATGGAGGTGCCCAGGACATTTTAGGTCAGTTAAATCAGGAAGCCCTGTTGATGAACACCACAACACCCAAGAAAGCTGGCACATCAGCCTGGCCAGCTCTGCTGGCACAGAATCCACTGCAGCACACATGTCCCACAGCCTCCAGCTCTGCTCACAGTGGGCAGGGGCTGACACCAGACCCAACACCAAGCCTGAAGCACTGATACAAAACCAGAAGACCACAGCAAAGCCAGATGATCCACAGTAGCCAAAGCCACCTGCAGCCACTCCAGAGTCTGGCAATCAGAGCCACATTTATGAGATCACCTACCCACTCTTGGCCCATCTCTGCTCTGCACCCTGGGCTGACAGGAACTGGGTAAGGAACAGCACTATCTAAAGACCCAACTACACTGACCCTGGAAGCTCAGCTCTCCAAGGACACAACATATTTCACAGCAGGCAGCCACTCAAACTAATCTCTCAGCATACAAACCCTCTGCCCATCACAGCACAGGAACTGCCCAGCGTCCCATGGGCACCTCTCCACAGGTCACCAACCACTCAGCCTCCCAGTGGCTGCAGAAATGCCTTGGTGCTTCAGCAACAACCCCTTCTCACCCCTCCTTGGCCACAAGTTTCAAACAAATATCTCTGATCTGCTCTGTTGGGAACTCAGAGCACCAGAGATGCTTATCAAGAGAAGTATCAAACGCATTCGGAGACACTTGCAACCTTCCCTGCAGGAGGCCTGTGCTGCTCATGGCACTCCAACCACCCATCAGTTCCCAAGATGTTCCTCACACCTTCAAATGGCACTACTGACTGTGGACAATTAGTGCTACACCTTCCACTACACCAGGTTGCTTAAAAGTCCCAGCCAGCGAGGCCTGGAACACCGACAGGGACGGGGCATCCCAAGGCACAGGTTTCTCAGCAGCCTCGTGATGAAGATGTTTTGGGCTCCCTGGGAAGCCTCAAATGGCTCTAGACACCAAAGTTCTCTGTTCTCAGCAGTTCAGTACAACTCTTTACCCACCACTGATATCATTTAGGAAGAAAATGTTCCCTGGACCGTGGGAACCAGGCACTCACAGTATCTCACTTTCCAACCAGCCGTTTCTTTCACACAACTGTTCTCTCACATCTGTATCTGCCCAGATTTGTGGGTGGGAGAGAAGCTGAGAAAGGAACATCTTTATTTCTTGAAATCCAGGTGAACAATATCAGCTATCACCTTCTTCCATGTATAGCTGCCAGAACAAAAGCCACACTGAGCTCATCTCACAGTTCACGCTCCACTATTCTGACTTCAAAAGCCCCCACCCGACTGCAGAAGTTTGGGGGATTGCTACACAACAGTAAGAGCAAGCACTTAGCAACCTTCAAAAGCAGCAGGGCCACTTCCATTAGTTGGCACAGAAAGCAAGAGTGAGACATGGAAGCACAGTTCAAGGAAAAGGAGCACACTGGGGGAAAAGGTTGGTGGGACATGAAGGAAAGGGAAGAGCCAGCAAGGAAGTGCACATCAGCTTGCCAAGGGAAAAGCAAGACTCCTCTGTCTTGGTGCACCACAGGACATCTCTACCACTTTTAATGTTTAGCAGGTTTCAACCCACTTGGACCTTTCCCCATATTTAGAGCTGTGAAGCAATGTACACCCACAGCACCATCCCCTTCTCTGTTAAACATCACTGGTGAACCACCAACCATGTCCTCTCCTCCTTTTCACATCCCTTTTATTTAGGGCACTTCCTCAGCCAGGACGATCCCTACAACAGGAGTCTGGGGAGGTGGTGGGAACTCCATCCTCAGAGATCCTGGAAACTGCATCAGAAAAGGCTGAGCATTCTTTCTCTGAAAGGAGCCTGGACCAGATGTCCTACAGAATTGCCTTCCAATTTGAATTATTTGATGATTCTGTAACATTTATTGCCATAAAGTGCTGTACCAGAACCACCAAAGTGCAGCCTGCACACAGAGCCTTAGTGACAGGGACAGACAACCCCTCCGAGCCTCCAGTGCTCTCACGCTCTGTCATTTCCTAAGAAAAGCATCTGTAAGATATTTCATCTGTTCTGTTCCTGTTTGAGAAGTTTCGTATTTCCAGCACATTAATATAACCAATAAACAATCCAGAATGAAAAAATTTGCTGACAGTGGTGTGAAAAAAACCTCTTTATCAGACTTCATTTTCCTTCCTTCCTATCTGGAGGGGGTGGAGGCCCCGTCACCCTCCCACACGATGCACTCTCAGACAGTTTTCCAGCAGGCTGTAGAGACCATATCACTAATCCAACATTCCAGTGTAGCCACAGTGCTCCCAGCTTCTCTGTGCTAAGTGCTGGTGACAAGGAAGGGACTGAAACCCACTATCACCAAAAGGAACAAACTGATCTCCACACAGACACATCAGGAATCCTGTTGGGGTCTTTTAACCTGTGTTCCCAGGCAGTTTTCCCACACAAGCATTACACCTCCACAAGTTCCAAGGGTTTAAAGAACTTCTTGCACAGCCTGTCTGCTGCCAGGGAGCAAGCCCAGTTCCCCTCACGTTTTCACTGGCCTGCTCCAGGTTTGCTGGATGCAGCAGTTATGTTTGCCTCCACTCTCATCCACCTTCCCTGCAGTCACCACTTTCACACCTCATCAACTTCTGGCCAAATTAATTGAAAAAAAATAACAGCTGTCCAGACAGGATTTGTGAACATGAATGTGACAGTCCTCACTAGCTGGACTGAACAGTACTGCCAAGTGTCCTCTGCTCTGGAAGCTGCTCAAAATACATGACAAGAAGTCACATCAGGAGGCGTCTGAACCAGTGAAGCTGCCACGTGTTCCCTGCAGCAACAGCTGGACGTGCAGTTCCTGCAACACAAACACCTTCCCGTCCCTGGGGCTGTAGATCAACACCACACCTTTACTCTGTGGACTTTCCTGGAGCAGGGGCTGTGCTCCACTTCCAGCCTTTCAGTCTTCTCCATGAACAGCCACGCTGCCCTGGGAGCACGGCACCACCTTCACTGCTGTCCTGTGAGGACATGGCAGCGGCACACAGCGAGAGGCCACCCGGGCCACCCCCACCCAGAGCAGCCACAGCTCTGGGGCTTCAGTGAACACACAACTCCCAGTCCACCAGCACTCGGGGCTGTGTGAGCTCCACACGGAGCACAGGCCAGGGAAGCATCCGGCTCACTCAGAGTTAGCCCCCTCAACAAACTCCTCCACAAAACAAGACTCTGCTGCCTCCCTCTACCCCTAGAGCCACCAAAAGAGGGGAAGAGCCCCAGCCATGGCCACGCCAAGCCCTGTCCCTGCAGCAGCCTCACCTCTGGGCGCCCAGCGCCTTGATGACGGTGGAGAGGAGCCGCCCGTCCTTGGCGGTGACCTGGGTGATGTACTGCGGGCGCCCGATGTCCGAGTCCTCCACCGACTTGGCGAGGGCAGCGCTGCCCGGGCAGTCGCACAGGGACCCAGGGAGGTGGCAGCAGTCGCCCGTCGTCATGGCAGCTCCGGGCCCCTCTGTCCCGGGACCGGCACCGGGGAGACCTGCGGGAACGGCACCACGGTCAGAGCCAGCACCCCGCAGAGCCCAGCCCCTCACCACCCTCCTCGGGCTGGCAGCACCCCGGGGCCCCAACAGCCACGGGGCCTGGGAGCCTTCTGTCCCCTTTAATAGGCTTTGCGAGGCTGCCTTGCCATAAAATTAAGACTCCAAATGTTCCACTTACATAACTTAACGATCGGAATTGCAAATTTACCTTTCTCGGAGAGAATTCCTGGCACCCACCCTTCAACCTGATGGAGCCTTTCAAACCAAATGTGCCAACGCAGAGGTGGGGAAGGCGACCAGAAGCCCCATGAGCCTGTGCTGTTCTGGCTAGAGCTGTCCTGAAAACTTATATTCATGCTCTCTGTAAACGCAGCAAAGTTTCACCCGGACAGGTACCCGAACCTGTTTGCATGGCTTGGTTCAGGGAGGCCTTTCTCAGCTGCATTCAGGAGCTTTCTGAGCACTTGAAAGTCCACCCAAGCCCAAAGGGCTCCCCCACCTCATCTTTGATTTTCCTTTTTTAGATTTCCTTACAGAAATGCACACATTTCCACATTGCCTGCGGTCCGTCCCAACAGTGAACGTGTGGGCCTGAGCCTCCCAAAAGCACTGAAAGTGCTCCCCGGGCTCTCTGGGAAGGAAGGGCAGCAGGCCAGCTTGTCCCCTTTCCCTTTCAGACCAACCACGACTTTTACAAGAGCCACATGCAAACAGCAAAGCACACCAGTGTGGTTTTGGCACTTCTGTGATTTACCCAGCAAAGAGAACGCACGGATCAAACAGCAAATGCAAGAATCAGGAAGAAGGTGCAGAGAAAAGCCCAACACAGCAAACCAGGAGCTGGCTGTGATGAGCCACATGTGGACAGGAGAGCTCTCTGCCTTTGAGGGAAGGCAGCAGCTCGCCCAAGCTGCCAGCAACAGCAGAGTTCCTCCCTGGCAGGGGATACCTCACCCCCAAAGACAGGAATGCTCTGCAGATTCAGAAAAATCCCTTTTTCTCCAATTGTCTTTAGCCTGGTCCCTGAGAGGCAGCTGTGCAGAAATAAAGGGCTGGGGTTACAGTGAGTCACAAGCTGAACACAAGCCAACAACATCGTACTGCTGGTAAAACCAAAATCCCTGTGTCTGTAAACAGGACTGCCTTATGTAAGGCAGGCACAGTAATCCCTGTGCGCCAGCACTGCTGGGATCAGAGCTGGAATGCTGTCTCATCCTGGTGGCTGGACTTCAAGAAAGAAATAAATCCACAAAAGAAGTTCAAATGAAAGTAATGAAAAGGATAAAAGGTCTGGGGGGGAGGGGGGGGGGAAGCCTGAAATAAAATAACTCCAATTCCAAAGAAGAAATATGAAAAGAATTAAGTTTGTTAAATTCAGGAGGGGGGGAATCTGCAGTCTCTGTCTCCTGGAGGTAGGAGCAGGCAAACAAACCTTCACCATCCCATCCAAGGAAAGGGTCTTTTGTTTAGAGATGTCTGTGCACAACAGGAGTCAAACGTTCCCATGAAACTACAATTCTGTCAGGTTTAACTAAGCCAAAATCAAACTAAAATAGCTAAAGAAAATAAGGGCTTCTTCCTGGTTGGAGGCTTGGCCACACTACAGAAGAAGAAAACAAAAAGCCAATACAAGAATGTGACCCCTGCAGCCCTGAGCACACTGACTTGGGTAAGCACAAGGGTTTTTTCCCGTCTTGGAAATCAAGAAATTCTCACACAACCAAGGCCTTCATCTGTCAGGATGGCTTCATTCATGTACACATGTTCAAGAGGGAGAGAGCCCTTCAGTGGTGTCTCAGCACCAGATGCCAACTTTGGTAGCACCCCCTCATTTTACAGAATACTTTCTTATTTCTAATCGAAGACTTTCTAATTTCTTTATTAAAACTGCTCTTGATAACTATCTGTAATCCTTCCTCTGCACCTGAACAGGAATAAGCTTGAGCTCGTGGCAGGTCAATCCCCATCCAAACAAATGTGAATCTTTTCATCAACCTAAAAATTAACTTTACAGATTCAGCCTCTCTCTCCACCTGTGCAAAGAGCACACAGGGTTAGAGCCACTTTTCTTATTGCTCTCCTCTTTAAAAAAAAAGGCTACAAACACTCCAACTTTAAGGAGCAAGAACCAAGATGACAAATGCTGTTGGAATGACTTAAGTCAGCTGCTCTACAAGTTAAGGAGTTATTTCAGTTTTAACAGCCTCTTACTGACTCAGGCATGAAAGGATATATGTTTTTAATAAAAAGGTCTGTTCCATTTGTTCGGCCAAAACGTTGTTTATTTCTAAGTGCAGAGGAAAAAGGGTCATTTTGCGTACTGGAATAAAACTGCCCTCACTGCCTGTGTCCTGGGAGTATTTACACTGAGGCTCTTTGTGCTCCACATCTGACAGACACAGGTAGCCCCATGGCCTTGCCCTGGCAGCCCTGCTCAGGCTGGAAGGGAAGGGCCACCCTGCCTTTCTTCAGCAAACACGCGGGTTTCTGTTACAGGTTATTTGGAATCCCAAATTCCTCGTTGGGGTCCATCCCAGGGGAGAACCTGAAGTCACTGCTCTAATACCTGACTCACACCACTCAGTGAATACAAAGGAAAAGCAGCAGGATTTTCATGGACACAGTCAGAGAAGAAGTAACTGAAATCCAGAGGTGACATCTGCAGTGCACTCAGATTCTGGTTCCATCCCCATCCCACAGTGTACAGCCAAGCCAGTCCCCAGCCTGGCTCCCTGAAGGATCAGCTCATCAACACACAGCCTTCCCTCACAGCTGTCAGCAGCTCATCCAACCCAAACCCAACGTTCACAGAATTGTTCAGGCTGGAAAAGCCCTCTCAGATCACCAATCCAACTGTTCCCCCAGCACTGCCAAGGCCACCACTAACCCCTGTCCCCAGGGGCCACATCCACACATCTTTGAAATCCCTCAAGAGATGGCAACTCCACCACTGCCCTGGGCAGCCTGTGCCAGTGCCTGACCACCCTTCCTATGAAGAAATTTTTTCAACCTAAACCTCCCCAGCAGAGCTTGAGATCATTTCCTCTCATCCTGCCACTTGTTAACTGGGAGAAGTTACTGATCCCCACCTGGCTGCACCCTCCTTTCAGGGAGTTTTAGACAGCAAGAAGGTCCCCCCGAGCCTCCTTTTCTGAACCCCCCAGCTCCCTCAGCCACCCCTCATCAGACTTGTGCTCCAGACCTTTCCCAAGCTCCACTTACAGCAGAAATGCCAAAATCCTGGAGAGAGAAACAAGATCCAAACAGCTGGTTTGAACCACACACTGTTTTTTTCTAAGCACCTGGGATTTCTGAGCCCATTCTTTCGGGATACATTTCTTTTTCACATTAAAAAAAAAATAAAAAAGCCTTCAAGACACTGGGTTTATTATCAGTATCTCCTCTGCTGCCACAGTTAGACATGATCAAATAAATCGGAAGTCTCTTCTCAGCAACATTTTGTATCCTCAGCTTCCGAGCAGACCCAGGATATAAAGGGCTGAGTTTGTAAATATTACTCCAACTGAAGAAAAACAAACCCCGTTTGTGGAAAATTGGCTCAGAAGAAGGAGTTCTGCACCAGGACTCCAAAACTCAAACACGTGCAGCGAAACGAGCCAGTTCCTCAAAGAGCAGCTCGTGCTCCATCGCTGCTCCAAGGCAGAGACCAGGGTGCTGCTGTGGGATCCTGCTCCATGGCTCATGTGGAGCAGGGCAGCAAGAGATTCCCCCTCATCAGTCCTCAGGCATTGCAACAACATATATAACCCAGTTTCTATCATCCAAAGGGCAACAGGGGGGCAAAACTCACTCAAAAGACTGCAGAGATCAGGTTGGACCAGCGCCCTCCACCCAGGAGACGTGCCCAGCGGGAACAAGCAGGAGTCAAGGAGCTAAAGGGTCCCCCAGCTCTGTTCTCCGTATTTAGACTTTGCAGATGGATAAAACAGTTATTTCTCCCATACAGGGAAACCACAGCAGATCAGATGAACCCCTGGATCAAAGCCACAGTGGGAGAAGCACAGTCAAGGTGGGAATGACAAGAGGGAAGGCTGCAGTCAGTCAGTGGCAGCAGCGGGGAAGGTGCAGGTCGTGGCTCTGCTCTGCTGCTCCTCACGGCCTGTCCAGTGATGAATATCCCAACCAGTGTAAAGCCCTGGAGCAATTCTGAGGCTTTGACTGGATCCAGAGCAAACTGGAACTAGAACCAGCTCCACCTTCTCCGGGTGCAGTGTGCACACCTCAGCTCCTGGGCAGACCAGCTTCCCCGGACACCTCCACCAAGAAAAACACCCAACGCACCACCCGAGTCTGTTCCTGAGCAACCCATTTCCCTGATTACTGTAAGCAAGGCCTGGCACCTCACCAACAGTGCCACATCAGAGATAAACAAGTTGTGTTGCCAACGTAACCCACCCATCTGTACACAAGGACTTTTTTTTTTTTAATTTATCTCGTGACCCACTGACTGACTGCAGATCAGTGCTCCGACTGCTGCTCACGTGAGCTGATGTTTGATCCTGGCTGCAAGGCCACCCAGACTGCCTTCCAAAGCCCTTTTAGCCAATTTGGGCACACAGACACTGAGTCTTCTCATCATATGGTCCTGCAAATGTCACCAGCAAACCGAAGGTTTTCAGGTGCTAAAGGGCATTTCCAAACATCAGTGCTTTCCTTTTCACCCCAAAAACTGCATTACCCCAAACCCTGAGCCCTACAACCATCTGAACACATCTCGAGGGAGACAAAAAGAATTGCTTTCTCCACACATCTAAGCACCTGCTCCCACACACCCTGTCTCACCCAGCTAAAATGCACATTACACACCTGAGACACTGCCACCAGAGATACAAGAGTGGGATGCTATGAGTGGCCTGAAGTGCTCCCTGTTACTGTTGAAAGGCTGCATAAGTGGATTACTTTAAAGAAAAAAAAACAACAAACAACTAAAAAACCCCAAGAACCCATCCCAAATTGCTGCAGGGCTTTGTTTTCAGTTTTGTTTGTTTAAATACACTCTCTTGCTGAAAGTTGAAAACCACAGCATTATTTTCTTCTTTATTTAAAAGTACACGATTTTATTTATCAGCTGACTCCTCGAAGTTACCCTGCAGGTCTGCTGTGGAACACCTTAAAAGTACCCAGAAAGCCAGCACAGGATCTGACCACACTTGACCCATCAGCAACTCGCCCATTGCCCAGGGCTCATGAAGAAATCTTGTCAGTCCTATGCTCAGAAGTCACCAGAACACAAAGTCCTAAAGTCAGGGTGCAAGGAGCCCTGTTCAGTGAGAAAAGTGAGACAGCATTTTATGGCATATCACCCAACACTTAAAATAAGATCTGATGCCACACAACAGCTTCTAAAGCATTTTAAAATTTGGTAAACAGCACACAGGAAAGCATTTCACTCCCCAGCAGCTCCTCAATTTCCTGCCCTGCCTGCAACATTTGGTTGGCCATTGCAGCTAAAGGAGGTGCTGGAAAAACTTCAGCCTTAACTTGCACTTCAGACAGTGCCAGCAGAGCAATGCTGTGGATCAGAGAGCCAGGGGACAGCCCTGACCATGGGCTCAAAACAAAACAAAGCCCAAAAAAGCACGAGAACAAAACAATCAAGGGACAACATTCTGGGAGCTTGTGAACCTTCTGATAAAGCTTCACACCAGGAACCTCCTCCTACACCTTCAACAGCCAAAGCTCAGGGCTGAGAGAGGTGAAGCCCTGCTGCACCCACAGAGCCTCCCCTGCCTCGCCCCTGGGGCTGAGTTTACAATGCCCATAACATGCTCCCAGTCTAACCCTGTAGCACCCAGGAGGAGGTCACAGGCTTTGAGGATGCAGTGTTTTTGGACTCCTGCATTTGCCACACTTGTACATGGCCACGGCCAGCGACTGGCTCGGCTGCCCCTCCACTGTTCAGTGACACAGCCCAGCACCAGCCTTCACTCACTGGCTGCTGCTGGGGACAAACAATCACAACTTCTCGATCCCCATCCACTATCTAGGCATATTCTAGAAGCTCTCTGAGTCTTGATTATTGTTATGGTCTGATGGTAAATGGGTTTGTTTTCCAGACACAGATGAAGAGACAGTCTTCCATTTTTTTCCAAAGAGACACAGTGCCAGGATCTGACTGCTGTTCCCCATTGGCAAAAAAACACTGCAGCAAGTCTTGGTGATCAATAACTTGTTTTCCAAAGCCTGCATCCATGCACATCCCTCCTCTCCAAAACTCAGCAATATTGGATCGACATCTGCAGTAGCTTCACTTCATCTCCACATCTTGCAGCACTGGAAATGATGGGCTGGCAAAGATCCAGCAGGAGGGACCCCTGATTTTCAAACAAGATCACAGGGATGGGTCTTGTGTGGGCAAAGCAGAGCTGTGACACAACAGGGCTCCTATCACCCCTGAGTTTGGGGTACCTATCATGGTGTTCACCCCACTGTTTTTCAACCCAATTTTCTTCTAGAAGATTGTTGTCTAACATATAACGAAGTTACTCAATATTCAAAAAGAAGCAGGTTCAAACTCACATGCTCAGAAAAAAAATCAGTATAAAAAGGAGAAGTCTAAAGGATGATTTTTTTTCTTGCTGTGCTTGGGGAAGATCAGGCTGTGCATTACAGCTGGAATGCCAAAATGAACAAAGTCATCTCAGATCTTCCAAGGCTCTTTATCTGCCACAAGGCCGTATGAAAGGAAAGTTTACTGCACTTTAATTACCAACATCTGGAAATCCAAACTGCAACACTAGAAGAAAATTCTTTGCAGAGGGTATCTCCAAACGAAATTCAGCCATGTGAATACAAGTTCCATGAGGAAACAACCGAAAACCAGCTGGGATGTGAGAAACACCTGCGGCTCCTCCGAGGATTTCAAAAGTCATCAGCTTTTAGAGGTGAATAGCAGCACAACTCACCACATAATCCAACTACACAGACCCAGCACCCAACTCCTTCTGCATTTTATCACTCTCTTTCTGAAGGGAAAGAAAGATGCATTAGTAAGGTTTGAAAGTTTTATTGAAATCATGAATCAGGGAGGGGGGTGGAATGAGTTATCATGCCCACCAAGCACTGCTTGCAGGGTGCTACCCATCAGTGGGGACAACAGCCAGCCCAGCAGACACAAGCACATCCCTGCCCTGCTGGAGGCACCAGAGCCACGTGGCCTCTCACATCTTTCACCCACATCCTCTACCAAAACAGCAGCAGCACAAAGACACTTCTGCTTCCCAGCGCTATCACTTCAGCGAGCTCCTCTTTAAAGAGAGGCAGCCTCTGCAGCAAGGCCAGAGCTCCCCAGTCCTGCCCAGTCACTTGCCAGGCAGTTTCAGTTTAGTCAGAAGAAATGGATTTTCCAGCTCTGGGTAATCCATCAGGAAACAGAATTTTAGTGCAGCAGTTCCACATGCACCAGATCGAGACTGCAGTGCCCAACACAGCGCTGGATCCATCAGTCCCTCAGAGGGCACGACCCAGGGGGATGCAAAATGTTATTTCAGGATCAGGAATCCCATGTCAGAAAGAACTTGCATTTTCCTCAGTGTTTTCCTCCTGGGTTGTACAAATAACAACACTCTGCTTGGAGAAAAACTGGAGCTGGAGCAAACGGCCAGCACGCAGCAGCCCTGCTCACTGCCTGCTCAGAGCAACCACCCCTTGACACCAGGCAGCACACTCAGCTCCCAACAGGCATCTGATCTGGAGTTTAACTTGACTATTTCTATTTTTCAACCTAGCTATATTACAAATCTCTTCAGCACACCCCCACTTCAAGGAGTTTTCCAGCAAAGGCAGCACCAAAGGCAGCTGTGACCCATCATGCCACTTTGGAGAGCTCCAAAGTGGGCACCAGCTGAGAGCACCCCCATGGTCAGCCAGAGAGGAGGATTCACTGATCCCAGCCAAGTGCACCACTGTCTCCCTTCTGCCCACTCCTTACCGCTACAAGTTCCCTCCTCAATCCTTAAGTGAAACTCCACAACTGGTATCCAGGCTGCAACACTCCAGTTTGCAACGTTTTGCTTAGGCTGCATTTCTACTTCTTCTGGACACAGGCCTTGACTGATTTGTCTGCAGGGAAGTACAAGAAAAACTGGGAGGAAATAAATTAAGAACAGTCTGGAATTGTAGTTTTCCCTCCCACCACTCTCAAATCTAACCCCAAGCAGGTTTCAGCTGAAACAGGACTCAGGCTCTCAAAGCTTTAAAGGAATCAGTGTTAAAGTCAAGACTGCATGAGCTTGGTGCATTCCCCTTTTCGCAGAGAAATGCTTTAGATAGTAGGTTTGATTTGTTTGTACTTATATTTACCAAGCCAATGCTGCTTCTTGCCCCTCGTTCCCTCTTTTTGGGAACAGGAGGGGAACGTTTCCTTCAGTCTATCACTGGTTTCATGACAGCTGATTAAAACTGCAAGAGCAGCTACAGCACCTCTGTCCTTGAGGTTAACCACACATAATCATCTCGGGCTCTATCAGGAATTGAAAAGTTTAGTCATAATTGCTACATAAAACTTGGAAGAAAACTTACAAATGCCTATTTTAATTGAAAACGGGGACAAATGAGATTCCAAACTGTAACACTGCTCGCCTGAGAGAGGCCTGGGTCAAGGAAGGCATTTGCACAGCTGATGGGTAGGAAGAGCTGCAGGTCAGGGCAGCTCCTGTCAGGCTGCTCCCTTCACTGGAGGACACACAGGGATCAGTCCCTGCCTTCAGGACTCTTCTGCACTTCACCACCAGTGCTTAGGGCTCTCCCACCCTGTAACTCACAGTGGGAGAGGCTCATTCCACACCCAGGGAAGGTGCACAAATCCATAAGAAGCGACTTCTCTGCTTTTGCCAGGCAGGACAAGCACCTGAGTGCTCTCCCAAAGCACCTCTCCCAGCAGGGCTGTGTTGCTGATGAGTTGGAGCTGACCTGGTGTAATTACAGCAAACATGGCACAAAGAGCACGACAGCACCTCCTGGGGAATGGGAGCTGCAGTCGGAGCTGGGGAGAGACCCAGCCAGGCCTGGGGAGGTGCTGCTCACGTGCATGACATGAACTGTCTTGGTAAGCCACAAACTGTGCCTCAGCACAGATTTGTTTGTTTTTACCACTGTTGTTTTTACCACTGGAGAAACCTACTGTACACGAACTTCACGGAGACACTCGCCTACCCTTCACGCTGCTTTGGTGCTGTGCTTGTTTCCTTCCCAGAAACGTGCCCCATGGCCTGTCCTGGACCTCACAGACACCGTGAGCTCAGGGGTCACTCTCTGAGATGTGCTCAGGGTGCTTCCACGGGGACAAGTGCCAGCAACAGAGACCGCTCCTCTCTCGTGGGAAGGGTGTGAGCTAAGGGCAGGCAGAAGCATAAGTTAACCAGAGTAAACTGGACTGTGAGGGAGAAGAGACACACCAGTTCAAACTTTAATCTGCAGGGGAAAAAAAAAAACCAGTTTGGAAACGGAAACTCTGCAATCTCCAAATATCCGAAGCTGAGTCAAAGTCAAGAGGGGAAAAAATAAACTCATTCTGTAGTTTATAGTTGAGGATGCCTGATTCCTCCCTTCATCTCCTAAGAAAAGTTCCTGTGTTTGTTAGTGTGAGAAGCCAGGATGTTTTAAACAATAATTAAAAAAGCTCCAAAATGCACATTTTACTTTGTGCCTCTGCCTGCAGAACTACTACAGAGTCACATCCTGAGGACCTCAGGACTAACAGAGTCAGGACTAACAGAGTCTCAGGGCACATACCCAGCCTCAGCTTGCCCAGCTTGTGCTGGATGCATTTTATCTCGATTTTGGTCATGCTGTTCCAAGAAAACTGTACTAACTTCCTCCCAGGGAAAGATCATGTCCGCCACTTGCTTGATGCAGGCCAGCATCAATCACCCAGAAGGGGAAAGGCCCTCTCCCAGCACCCATGGAGGCAAGAACTCTGTCGGAAGCTGCTCACAGTCAGTACATTGTAGTCCTGCTCATCTGCATGGCCCCCTTGGCGTCCGGCGCGGGGTGACCTCACCCTGCAGCCTCCTGCAATCCACAGCCAAAAAAAAAGGAGCAGTCAAACACATCCAAAACAAGGAACATTAGTTCCAATGTCTTTTTTTTTTTTTTCCTGTTTTCACTTAAAAGACTGCCAGTGGTGCTAATTAGCTAACCACGCATAGACAGCCCCGGAGTCACAGCTGGCATTCAGTGCCCGTGGAACACACATTAGGCTCTCACTTGGCTCCTTCCTGTGCCACCTGGTCTGCCCCTGGCAAAGTTAGGACTTCCTTACTGGTGCAGGCTGCCCGAAACACTCCCCAGCACGTGCTTGGGGGTAGTTAGACCTTGTGTCCTCCTCTGGAGTTATTAAATTCACTGTCACAGTGCACGTGACAAAGCGATTTCAGAGTCCCAGCTCCTTTCCCTTCAAGCTTGTTCCTGAGGGGTGACACACCATCACAGCCTCAAATGCACCTGGAAAACAGGGCCCTGCCAGCCTTTCAAACAGCCCCTGCATAATCCTGTGGAGATGTAGAAAAGCGTTCAAACACCTGGAAAGCCAAGACTCAGGTCCAGCTGTTCAAAGGATTACTCTGCACACATGTGAGTGGCAGCCAAGAGGGGCTGGATGTCCCCAGGAGCAGGGGGACAAAGGGGATGGGCCACAGCCATCACAGCTGGACAACCACAGCAGCACCATAGGCACTCTCAACAAGGGCCTGGAAAAAGGCCAAGGAAGTGCTAGAAACTGTGTCAGAGGGGAAGAACACAGAGATAAATGCTTGCTGGAAGGAGAGCGGAGCAAGAGAATGAGAGTCCCAGGGAAAAGGAGGGCTGGTAACAGGAAGGGTTGAGAGAGGGACAGAAACAGTCCCTTGGGGATAAGCAAATAAAGGGCATGGGGTGGGATGAGAAGCACATCCTCACTGACAGATCATCACACACACCAGGGCAGGACAGTCCCATCCCTGGACACTGCAGGGATGGTGCACTGAAAACAAACAAGTGGAACTCTGGATAACCCCGACACTTCCAGTTTGCTACTATCACCCCTGACTTGAGTGACACCCCACCTGCCTGCCTGCAAAATCCCAGCTCTGCACAGCTCCCTCCCGAAGGCTGAGTCACACAGCAGCAGCCTGAACTCTGCTCAGGGCAGGAGCACACACAGCACAGCTGTGTCACCCCACGTGTCACCCCACACCTTGGTGGCACTATTTCTGTGGGTACTGAGTGCACACAGGACCCCCAAGGCCATCGCACAGCTTCTCAGTTTTTAATCTTGGTCTCCCCACCAGATCAAGAACATGCTCATACAACAAGAGCCCCTGTTTGAGATCGTGACAGAAACACCTCCCGTGTGTTTCTGTCACACACTCATCCTCCTGTACACGAGTCACAGGCTCGTCCCTCGGACAAATCCGACAAACCAGCAGTTCTGGCCTCTGTCACAGAGAGCTGGCTCACGAAAACTGTCCTAAGTAAGACAGAGAGACTCAGTTTGCGGAAAGTCCATCACAAACTCTAAGCTCACACCAGGAGGAAGGCAGCTGGTGCCCCAACACACAACTGCAGCAACCTCTTCAGCCGTGCTGTGACACTGAGCCCATTCTCTGGGGAGAGCTCTGTACCAAGCTCCGCAAGGCAGCGCGCCCGTGCACACAGCGCCGGGGTCACAAACGGGCCCCGGAACGCTGCAAAAGCTGAGAAAAAACGGGCAGGGCAGCCCGCCGGCAACGGAACCTTTTCCTGACAAGGGCTTAGACCCGGGGGAAAGGAGCCTGAGGAGCGAACGCCGCTTCCCCGAACCTGCGGCGATGTCCGTGCGCGACACCCCCGGCGCTCCCGGGGGACGGTGCCGGCCTAGCCCGGCCCGGCCCCGCCCCGCCCGAGGGGAAGGGCCGCCGGCTCAGGCGCTCGGCGACCCGGCGCAGCCGGACCGCAGCAGCTGCTCCCGGACAGGGCCCCGAGCCCCTCGCCGCTGCGCTTCCGGCTCCCGAGCACGGGCGGCGTTCACACGCCGGGCACACGGGCGGGCTTGTCAGGGCTCCCGGGCCCCCGGAACAGGCGGCCTGCACGCCTCGGCCCGGGCCTCGCGGGACGCCGCGCGCCGGAGCGGGAGCGGAGCGGAGCAGGTCAGGGCCGCGGTGCCGGCCCGGCCGACCCCGGAGCCCCCCCCCGCCCGGGGTACCTGCGCTCCCGGCCCGCGCCCCTCGCGCGGCGTCCGCCGCCGCCCCAGCGCCGGCTGCGGCGGCCGCCCTGGCCCCGCCCCCTCGCGCCACCGCCAAATCCCGCTCCCGCCGCCCCGAGTGGACGCCACGCCCGGTGAGCGCCCAATGGGCTGCGGGGAACCCGCTGGCGTCGCAACGTGACCCCGGCTGGCAACAGGCGGGGCGGCCAATTGGCGAGCGGCGAACGAGCCCCGCCCCGGGCCGGGGCCCCGCCCTCCCCACCACGAGGGCCACGCCCCCTCGCTAGCGCCCGCCCCGCGCCGAGCCCCTCTCAGCGCCGGGGGACACCGCCCGGCCCCGGCCCCGCCCGCGCCCGCGGAGCCCCCGCAGCCCGGAGCCCCAGAGCCGGAAGCCCCCAGCAGCCCGGAGCCCCCCGAAAGCCCGGAGCCCCCCGAGCCCGGAGCCCCCAGAGCCCGTAGCCCCAGATCCGCCTCCTCCGGCCCCGCGAAGCCCCCAGAAGCCCGGAGCCCCCAGAGCCGCCTCCTCCGGCCCCCGCCGAGCCCCCGGGGGAAGAGCCCTCCGGACCCGGCGCTCGGCCTCTGGAGGTCCGGAATTCCATCCCCACCTTCTTCTTCCACAGCCGTGCCTGGGAACAGAACTTTACGCACACACGGGATGATTTGGCAACCTTTATATCCACAGTACATCATAACCATGCACAAAAATCGAGGGATGTGTGTATTTACAAAGTGAATTGCACTTAACACAGGAACCAGGGATAAAAGTAAATGAAAGGAACCTCTCCTCTGGGTAGCATAAAGGTCCAGTGCTATTTTTAGCCTACGAAGCCTGATAGACAACACTACCGTGCATTATCTGACCAGTGTAAAACAGGAATTGCTGTTACTTATTGAAACAGTGCAGCCCTGCAGACAGTCATTCCACGGGAACGTTCCACAAATCACCATTCCAACTGTATTTCAGAGTCTGCAAGCCAAGAGAATCCACCCTTCAGCCCCAGCTCACTGTGTTTGACTTGAAGGACAGTTAAGTCTTCATCCTCAATTGTCTGATTTTTCTTAGTTGAAATTCAGGCCCCTAACTTTAATACTGTTTGTTTAGGTTTTTATGAAGGAAAGAGGCCTCCCTAAGTGACCGAGTCGCTTCATTGGGATCTTCTTTTCTTCTACAGAGTCCAGAACCTCTAAGCAAGTTCTTCCTTCGTGCTTGGGAGGGAAACAATCACCAAGCCTTGGCAAGCCCCAGCCACAAACAGATCCCACCCACACCCTCTGGAGCAGTACAGAACGCAGAGATCAAAGCACCAAAGAGCAAAAATACCTCCTGCACATTTTTCCAACAGCTTTTGGTAAGTGACTGATTCAAACAAAGGCACAGATCAACCCCTACCATGCCCAGCCAAGAGCTCTGCCCGTTCCCAGTCCTTCCATGCACTGGGGGGTCACAGAACAGCACCTGAACAGGGGCATCTCTGGGATGCACCATCCTTCTGAACTAACCTGTCACAGGGGCAAGAAGGCACTGAAGTGCCTTTTCCTCCTACCAAATGCTGACTGTCTCCGCAGCACACACTAAAATCTCTTTAACAAAGCCTCAAGCAGTCACTTTGCAACTGGATTTTCACAAGTACAGAGCTTTAAAACTTCCCTGTGAACAAACCTTCCTTGCCCCATGCAGGCTCCAACTCTCAGTGGAGATCCCAGACTAACTCACCTGTCTGTAAGCACTGGCTCAGCAGGAAGAGGTCTGATTGATTCAGTCCACCCAAGGAATTCATTTTACCCATTAGCTGTTTGTGTGCTCAGGACCAAATCACTTTTATGTGTGAATTTTGGTCTTCATCCTCCCCATCACTAACAGGAGAGACAGGAGGACACTCCTGCCTAGTTCTGTGTTAAAGGACCTGTTCTAGATACCAGCAGGAGCCTTGGGCTGATGTTTGTGTTACTGACCCAGGGCTTTGTAGTGTTATCTTCCAATAGTTTAAAGGAAAGTCATTCTCAACATCCAAGTAAAGCAAGCAGAGCACACATTCCTTCTTTCACAGGCAGCTTTCCTGTCACCAGGAGTTTTACATAAGCCAAATTCTTCCCTCAAATCCCTTCTGGCAGATGGAAGAGAGATGGAACCTTTTCTCTTTTCCTGACAGTAATACTGAGAGACACAGAGCCAGCAAAGCTGCAGGATGAAGCAGTCCAGGTGAGGTTACATGTAACCAGTCATTTTCACAACAGGAAAACACAGTTGAGGAGTCTGGGCTACTGGAGAGTTTGTCTGAATGTCAGACAGCTCTGCAGCAGTTCCAGCTTCCTCAGGATTCCTCCAAGTCTTCCCCTTGGCAACTCCAGCAATTCCACCACAAGTGGGCTGGGTTGTGGGTGAGTTTCTGAGGATGCACAATGCTTCAGCAGGACACCAGGAACTCCAGATCAAAAGCACTTTCCCTGGGCTGTGCACAGGATGGTGGTTTAACCAGGCAGAACTGGCCCACTATCCTCCTTCCTGTTGGCACTAACAGCCCTGTGCTCAGGGCTAGACATGGACCTTTCACTGGGACTCTGAGGCAAAGTTTAGAGTCTTCCACAATGTCAAAGGCTAAAGAAAATCTCTTAAGAAACAAGGAAGTGACTAAACTGCCTCTCAGCTTCTTACACCAGACCAGTCTGATTCTAGAAACTTCATGTTAAGAACAGGACTTGCAGAGTGAGCACGTTAACACACCACCCTGAACTAATGGGTCTTCTTACCAGCACAATTCCTCCTCATACTATCCAAGTAATTTCTTTATAAAAAGTGTGTTCAAAAATTAAGGAGCTCAGCTCCACTAGTGTCCACTTGTTCTTGAATGAAGTATTTTCAATATTTCAGAATTTTCCATTCTCTCACTGCCAGCTGCCTAAACACTGACTGCATGTTATATCCTGCTCTAGGACCACCAAAAAGGAGACAACCCAACTCCCACCTTCTCTCAACAGAAGTAAATACCAAGTGTTGAAAGTGCTTCCCAAACTAGGACACCCTTGGGACGGAGCACTGTGATGCCTAAAGAGGAATTCATATCCTCATTCAAGGGGACCAGGCTGCAAGAATGCACCCCTTCCCCCTGAATGTATCCTCCAAACAAAGGTGAAGAGTGGAAGTGCCAGGCACCATGTGCATCCTGTGCTGTGAGCTGCAGCCCTCTCAGTGTACACAGTACAAAATTAAAGGCATTGGTCTGGAAATCTTATAAAAGAAAAGCCATCAGAGTTAACCGCCCTTAATTTTATTACGTAACCAGACAGAACAGTTGAGACTGGAATGTCAGATTTCCCCTTCAAGCACAATTCACAGTTTCATATTTGCTTTGTATCAGAAAAGAAATACTGACTCACTAATATGCAGCTGGGATTCATCCAGTGAGGTACAGGCTCAGAACACAGAGCAAAAACTCACTGCAAACGGCTCCACGAGCCCTCAGGGAGCAGCAGATGGTCTCCAGCTCTTCCTTCAGATCATTTCACCCAGGATGTGCCACCAGAACATTCAGCAGATACCGGAGGGGATGCAAGTGTGCAAGAGCCAGTGAGTGATGAAAAGCCATCAGAGAAGATTTGCACAAGCAAGCAAGAGACTGACTACACAGAGTTGTGGTAACATTCTTCCCATTCAGCACAACAAAGAATTAGAGTAGTTAGCCCTGCTGATGACAAATCTGTTACATCAGTGGAGTACAATTGTTTAAGAATTACAGTCTGCAGTTCAGTAAAACAGTAAGAGGAAAACAACAGGTTAGTAGTTATTATGTGAAATCCTAATATGCATTTTACTAGAGGTCAATAGTGAAAGATCATGAAGAGAAAATTCCAGATGCTATGGATCTGCAGAAGTTTTACAAAATGTATAAAGTATCGTGTTTCTCTACAACAACCAAAACCCTTACAAGTGCAGGTATATACGTGACATGAAAATATTGCTTCACTCACTCAAACAGGGGCAGGAGAGATCTAGAGAAAAAGCAGCATGCAAAAAACCCTGGAACTAGAGCAGATCCTGCTTTCAGACACTGACCTACAGTACAAAAGAAGCCTACTCATACAGGTTGCAAAAGGTTTCTGAAATCAATACGCTGGCACTTACTGTACAATAATGTTAACTGATTAACATAAGCTATGAATAAATATTAAGCCACTTCATAAAGCCTGCACAGGCATTCATGGTGGCAGAGAAAGCAATGCAGACATACTTCATTGTTCCCAAATAAAACAAGAATAGAGAAAGATTTCCCAAGCAGGAAACAGTAAACTACACAGCCAGACTAACTGTATTAGGGGTAATTACAGAATAAGTAATGTTATTTTCAACAGCTTTCTTATGTGTGTGCAGCCACTAAAATCCTCACTGTGAGACTTTATCAGGACAGAAAACAGAGCATTTGGTAGGATAGCTAGTTTAATTTCTCCCCCATGTTTACAGAAACACAAGAAAAAAAAATATCTGACTATGGGAGGAAAAAACCTTGTCACCTAAATGTAGTTATTTCTTCAACTGTTAGAGTCAAGTCCCCATGGTTCCTTTCCCAAAAATAAACAACAACTAAAAGAAAAAACAAAAACAAACCCCAAACCACCAAACTCAAAAAAAAAAAAATGCCCAACAAAAACAAAACAAACCCATTTGAGAAGAGTGTTCCATGGGATAATATCCAGCAGCAGATGTTCCAACACAAACATGTCTATCAGATCAGTGACTACATTTCAAGCCCAAAAGTCACCACATGGAAGGGGTTTCAGAGGCAGGGGGGGATGTTAGCCCTACAATTAAAGCTCTAATATGAGAGGGGAGATTCAGGAATGGAGCAAAAGGAGGGAGGGGGGAGTCACTGAATCACAGGAGATAAGAAGTGCACACAAGTTTCTAAATGAAGCACAGACGAAGTGAAGGGCACGAGAGTCATCTGCAGAAGGTCACAGGTTCTGACAGCACTGCAGTTTGTTGGATTTCTGTCCGTCGGTGGTGGGTGGGACGCTGATGTCGACGACGTTGTTGCCGGGAGACTCGTCGTGCGCGGACCGGTCGGCGATTTGCTTCTGCGACACGATGCGGTAGATTTCTGCAGAGAACACAGGGGTTAGAGCCTGCAGGGCACGGCCAGGCTGACCAACAACATGCCAGAACCCAAGAATGAGAAAATGTAACCAGGGAATCTAGTCTGACCAGATGTGATGTGTAACATCTGGCTGGCTTCTCCGGCTCTGGAATGGATAAGCCGGCTCAGTCTGGATAAGTTATTAAGACAACAGTCCTCGCTGTCTTCCACAACAGCACTTCCCATCCTGGTCTTTTTCAATGACTCCATGAACATGGAGATTATTAAAAGGGGGGTTTAAATGAGAAAGGAGCAGGAATGCTCATTTCTAAACAGAGAATCACTTTAGAATCACAGAATCATAGAATCACAGAATCATAGAATCAGCTGGGTTGGAAGGGACCTCCGAGATCATCAAGTCCAACCCTTGATCCAACCCTGCTGTGGTTACTAGGCCATGGCACTGATGCCACATCCAGTCTCTTTTTAAAAATCTCCAGGGACAGAGATTCCACTACTTCCCTGGGCAGCCCATTCCAATGTCTGACCACCCTCTCTGTAAAGAAATTCTTTCTAATATCCAACCTAAACCTCCCCTGGCACAGCTTAGGACCATGCCCTCTTGTCTTACTGATGGTTGCCTGGGAAAAGAGACCAACCCCCACCTGGCTATAACCTCCTTTCAGGAAGTTGTAGAGAGTGAGGGGGTCTCCCCTGAGCCTCCTCTTCTCCAGGCTGAACAGCCCCAGCTCCCTCAGCCTCTCCTCACAGGACTTGTGCTTGAGTCCCTTCCCCAGCCTTGTTGCCCTCCTCTGGACCTGCTCCAGCACCTCAATGTCCTTCCTTTCTTTTTGTTTAAAAAAAGAGGGAAACATACTCTAGAAATGCCAATCACCAGGATGCTGGGAAATGTCCTGCACAGCAGCAGTGACACTTCCCTGCTTCCCCCCTCAGCTCCTGGGAAGCTGCTACCACCAAAGAACAGCAACGCTCCTCTCTGCAACAAATCAGTTTCCCCACTCATAACAGTAAAAAGCCACATGGATCCATAAAATCCCACGCTGATCCAAATTAATTCGTTTGACTCAAATTAGTTTATGCCTGAAAGCACACAGACCCACAAAGCTGCAACCACTGAAGAGAGGCCGTCAGTTTAAAAGCTTTCAGAAACAAACCATTTCAACTTGCATGGTTAGTAGAAATAATGTAAGTTGAAAGGTTTTTAAATTACTTATTTCACTGACTAAAGCCTGTGTTCCAACTTCCCTCCATTGTGAAACAGGAAAAGGGCAAGTACCTCCCTGGAAGTCTGTGGTAAATATTATGGTCACATTCATGCAGCCACAGCCCCAAAACAGCAACACATGGAGCCTTTAGTAAGGATTAAAAATCATGGGGGGCTGTACAGGGATGGTTTGTGGTGGGGTTTTGTTAGGTTTTGTGGTGTTTCTTTTTTAAGAAGCTGCATGTATCTATGTTGTTTGAAATGGAAACCTTTAACCCAAAGCCATTCTCTTTGCCACGGGCTGCCTACAGCTCTTTGCTGAAAGGGATGAGGAGAGCTGTTCAGAGGCAGTCACATCCTCTTTCTTTCCTGCTCAGTGCTGTATTTGAATACAAGCTGTTCTGAGTCATTGCCAAGCCCCCTCTGCTTTGGGGTAGCACCTCTTTGGGGTGTTTTGTGGGTTTTTTCTTCCAGTCTTTAGTGATCTCAAACTAGTGGCCAGTAAGGAAACTCCTGCCCCGCTGTTCCCACCCTCTTCCCTCCTCCAAGTCTGCTGCAGTGGTTCCCAACTCGCTGCTCTACACAGCACATTTTCCCAAGTTTCTTCTCCTCTCTCAGAAGGATGATTCTCCCCCAGGTAAACACTTTAGGAATAGCCTTTTCAGGACTAATCAGTCCTGAACCACACACTACCTGAACTGGACAATCTCAACACTT